CTACCATTTGCTAGCAATATAGCGGAAATAGGCCCAAATAATCAGATTTGGTATTCTAGGAGTTGTGTGCCCATCACCTTGGCAGTGAGGTTTTAGCTCCCACCTGCTCTGCTCCCTTAGGGTGAGGAAGAGTAGAATTCACCTGACCCCAAAGCATGGCCTTTGTGGAGCTCTGCTCTTCCCATCCTCCTTCCTCACAGTCCACCATGCAGGACCCCTTGTAGACATCCTGTCATCCTTCATTTGGCAGAACAAAGTTAGAAACCAGGTGAGGAGGCTGGAAACCTTTCCATTACAAAGAACAAAACACTCTAGACATTAATGGGGCCTAGAGGTTACACATGCCCCTTTGAAAAATTTATACTCCACAGTGCTGGAAGAGTTGATGCCTTTCCAAAATTATCCTCTGCAGCATCTGTCTAAGCAGGATTTGGCTAACTCCTAGCATCATCGTTCTTTGTCACTAATAATTGTATCTTAGCACCCCTCAAGTTATACTTCTCTTTTTGTGCCTAATATCTTCTCATGCTTAGAAGCCATATGTGTATATATGTATATTTAATTCTGTGGTGCTTTGTGTGCATTTTCAACTGAACACTGAGGAAATGGCTATAATTTGAGCTAGAAACTTAGCATTTACTATTCTGATTCTGCCTATTTTAACATTTCACAGAAATGAAGACGCAGTCAATCAGATGGCTGTCACGCCCTTTCCATTACCGTCAAGTCCCCCGTCTTCTATTGAGGTAAGTTCGCTCCTAATTAGCTCTTAGTGAATTAAATGGATTTGTCATGATCATCTTCCCCAAATCTGACATTTTCAGTATTTGGTATTCCAAACTCAACAGAATTTATTAACTAGAGAATTTCCTTGATTAAAATAGAAAGCACTTGAGATATGATTATCAAGTAACATAAAAACAATGTTAAACAAACATATTAGACCTTAACCATATGAATATTACCTTTCTCAAAATTGCATAAGGTTTCTAGATAAATAGTTTTGTCCTCACTCAGCATTTCAGAATTTATTAAAAAATTCTCTTTTTTATGACTGAATTATATTTTTTTTATGGTTTCAAAACTCTTCAATATCTTTCATCTTTAAATAGTTACTCATCTATTAATGGAGAAATTACTAGTACAACAACATAGCTGTAATATTGTTCTGCTTCTATAGTTGTCAAAAGGTAAATAGATGGACAGATAGNTGGACCACTGGACTCATTATCCCATTGGTGAGAAATAAAAATGGGGATGGATTTTGAGTGCCCTCCCAAGTCAGGTCATACGGAGAAAGATCTGTGAATAGTCTTAGACCTTTACATATCAGCAAGAAGCATTTTTTGTGAGCTTCCTTGGCTTATCTTTGGTTTATATTGTGAAACAAAAAGCCAGACTTTATGCAAATCTTGATATAATCAGATTGGTCATACATCATGAATGAACAGTAAAGGACAGCCATTATCTCCCACAGAACCACTGCCTACCATTTGCTAGCAATATAGCGGAAATAGGCCCAAATAATCAGATTTGGTATTCTAGGAATTGTGTGCCCATCACCTTGGCAGTGAGGTTTTAGCTCCCACCTGCTCTGCTCCCTTAGGGTGAGGAAGAGTAGAATTCACCTGACCCAAAAGCATGGCCTTTGTGGAGCTCTGCTCTTCCCATCCTCCTTCCTCACAGTCCACCATGCAGGACCCCTTGTAGACATCCTGTCATCCTTCATTTGGCAGAACAAAGTTAGAAACCAGGTGAGGAGGCTGGAAACCTTTCCATTTCAAAGAACAAAACGCTCTAGACATTAATGGGGCCTAGGGGTTACACATGCCCCTTTGAAAAATTTATACTCCACAGTGCTGGAAGAGTTGATGCCTTTCCAAAATTATCTTCTGCAGCATCTGTCTAAGCAGGATTTGGCTAACTCCTAGCATCATCGTTCTTTGTCACTA